TTTTATTTAAAATGTTCCCTAGGTGATTCTGAGCTTCAGTGGTCCAACCACCTTGTTCATTTAAGGATCAGAGAGGTGGTATATGCCAGAGCCACACAGGAGGTTTGTAATAGGAATAGAAGACCTTGTCATACTCAGGAAGGGATGGAGAGTCCTTCTGTCTGAGGACTGAAGTCAAGAAAGAAGAGAGAGAGGACTGGAGCAGGATGGAGAGGTGCTGGGGAGAAAAGAGCAGAACCAATGAGAAGTATGTGCTCTGATGGCCTGGAAAACATCAGGAATTTACAATCAGTGAAGGACTCAAGAACCTTCCTCTCCTATTTCACAGAAGGGAAGACTGAGACACAATCAGACTGAGTTTTGGCTGGAAAGGCACCAATTTGAAGGGTCACGTGAAAAGAACAAGGGCTGTGTGGCCATATCTGACTTTTACTAACTTCACAAAGGGGAACCATCCCTGTCAAAAGCATTAATAACACAAAACCAATTCCCATGAGGTTAGACATGTCTCCCACACTCCCATACCTCTTTCTACTCTTCTCAGCACCAATCTTACTGCTTTGCTGGGTCCAAAACCAATGTGATAGCTCACAGACCACACAGAACTGTTAGGGAATTAAAAAGTTAATCCAGGTTGTAGCAGAAGACAGTCTGGTGGCTCTCGAAATGTGCTTGCAGGCACTTCAGCCTTGAGCCTCATGCTTCTTTTTTGCCAGGGCAGAGAAGGTCTAATTCTCCTGCTGCTGGATTACTCAGTTTAATAGCAAGACTAGCCAATCCCCTTATGGATTTATGAGACTAGCTAATTCCCTCAGGAACTGATAGACAGCCAGTCCCCTTGTGGATAGGCTAACATGCCCTATTTGCATATTCCCGCCCATCTGCACAGCAAAGTCAAAAGGATGGCTATCTAGCCATATTGAAAGATGAAGTCCACAGGTCAGTTGTTAGCGCCTAGGATTTCTGGAGCTTTGACTGTGCCATGCATGGTCAGAAGCAAGCCTGAAAGTGTGCTTCAATTGCCTTTTCCTTAACAAGAATTAGAACTGTTTGTTCTTGCACATAGATTTGTACTCATCATTCATCCTTTAAACATGTTGATGAGAACCACAGCAGACACAGTGCAGATGAGGCCTGGACGGGAGGTGTTTTTACATGTGTTTATACAGGTCTTGTTTTGAGTCCTGATCTGCCGAGGAGACAGCAACTACACCTCTCTGGCTTCAGTTTTCTTTTCTTTAAAATGGAGTTCCTCCTGGGATTAAATGAGAGCATGCACATGAGAGAGTTAGGGACACAGAGCCAAAGACCCACACAAAGTGAGTGAGCACTGACACAGCACTTCCCTGATACTTTAATAAAAGCCAAAGACTCTCCAAGCACATAATTTGGGGGACTTACTCCCAAGTGTGTGTGTATGGGTTTCTCATACCTAAGGAGATCTTTTTCTGTCTGGCATGGGATGGAAATCTCACAGGTTCCCAACAGTAAGGATTTCCAGAGCTGGACTGAACCTGGAGTGTGGAAAAACAAAAATAAAGGAAGTCCTCAAAAGACATGAGATCCTCATCTCAGATCTGCTGCCAGCCTGCCATGTGCCCTGAAGCAAGTCACCACATTACACTGTCAGTTCTGAGAAGTTGTGGGGTTTTTTTACAAGAGTAGAAATGTTCCCTTTTTCTCCCCCTTGGAATCAATAATTTATCACAAAATGACCAGTTTCTACTTTTAAACATACATCTGAGTTGTCATATTTAACAGATTTTATCCAGACTTTACAAATATCCTTTACAGTTAGCCTGAGATTAAGTGTGAGCAAGTTCAACCTGCACTTGGGCTTCAAAACTAGACAGCATCAGACAACAGCACTGAGGATGACATGAGAGTATTCCAGGGAAGCAGGACATGCAGACAACAAACAAGAAAGCCCACAACAAAGAGTGGGCAGGTGTCTGGGGCAGGCAGGATAGTGGTTCTGCATTTCTGCAGCTGCTGCTTACACTAGAAATGCAAACCACCTCATGGAATTCAACATGAACTTGAAAACACAGACCAGCATGATGCAGCTCTCCAAGTGCACATGCATCAGAAAGGTAAGGAAATAGAAAAGACAGTTTCCATTTCCCAAAGAGCAAGTCTTCGAACACTTTGTTCATTGTTTCGTTTCACACCTGTGATCACTGGGGCCACGTCATAGACTCAGCCTGAAGACAGAACAATGGATGTTGTTGGGGGGAGGGAGCAAGTGGGGTCCCAGAGTGCTCCTCATAGAAAGGAGACGCAGAAGGAAAAGTCCTTCCTGGTATACACTGTACATCATGTAAACAGCTGAGTAGTAGAGAGAAGTCAGTGTAAACCAATATTGTTTCCTAGGAAACCAGTCTTCATTCTTTTGAATTACTTGTGGTGAAGACACTTTTGAGAGAAAGAATGGAGCCTCTTCCTTTATTTTTTATGTGCCAGCAGCCAGAAAATCAAGAGATAAATTGCATTGGGAAAGTCAGCTGTCAGGGACCTCTCTAGAGTACTGAAGAACAACCACGTCAGTCTGGAGACTAAGGTGCGTCTAATCCAGGCCATAGTCCTCATAATTGCTTGCTATGCGTCAGAGAGCTGGACAGTGACTACGGATGAGAGAAAGAGAATTGATGCCTTTGAGCTGTGGTGCTGGAAAAGAATGTTGAATATAGAATGGACTGCCAGGAGAATAAACAGTTTCATCCTAGAGAGGGTGAAGCCAGGCTTCTCCTTGGAGGCAAGGATTCTAAGGCTTCGTCTGACATATTTTAGGCATGGTGCAAGGAGGAACATCATGCTTGGAAGGGTGGAAGCATGGAGAAAGAGAATGAGACCAGTGACTGGGGTAATGAGGGTAGGTGTGTCAGAGACAGTAAAGTTGGCACAGTATAGAGCAAGCAACTCGATGGCACATAACAACAACAACAACAGACATCTTGGGAGCTGGGATTATTATATTCAACTGCTAACAATGTGTCCTCTGCTTAGCTGGCTGACAGATCAATATCAGTATCTTCTCACTGAACACTAGCTAAGTTAGCCTGTGTCTGTCCGTCTTTTCCAGCCCTTACTAGCTGGCCTTACAGAGTTGAAGTGGAGTAGGGCTTTCCAAATCTGTGCTGCTGAAACAGGGGAAACCCACAATGCTTCCAATAAGGCTGGCAGCAAAGTGATGACAAAGAACCCATCCCCACTGGCAGGAAACCCTTATTTGACAAGTGGAACCAGAGTTTGGAGTCAGGGAATCATAAGCCCTCTATTACTGTGAAAACTTCAACCTTTCTGGGCAAAGGCTGACTCCAAGCATGTCAAAGCCCAGCAGCAAGAGTGAACGCTGACTGGGTCTGAGGTGCAGACAGTAATATCTTGGGATAATTTCACTGCAGTGGCCTCAGAATCCCCTCAGGGACACAGACAGGACCAGACATAGTCGTTAAGAATGTTCTCACTCTCTACAACCAGAAGAGGATAAAATAGATGAATGTGGCTTTCTAAGAATTAAAACCCTATGCACATCCAAGAACTTCTCCAACAGGGTAAAAAGGGAAGCCACAGATTGGGAAAAAATATTTTGTAATTACATATCTGAAAAGGGACTTATATCTAGAATTTATAAAATATACTCGAGCACCACAACAAGATAAAAGTAAATAACCAAATTGAAAAATGGGCACTGGATATGAACAGACACTTCACCAAAGAAGACATTTAGATGGCCAACAAACACATGAAGAAATGTTCAAAATTAGAGAGATACAAATAAGAACAACTATGAGATATCATCTCACACCAGCAAGAGTATCAAAATTTAACAAAACAGCAAGCAACAAATGCTGGTGAGATCAAATGCTGGTGAGATTGTGGAGAACCTGGAACCCTTATTCACTGTTGGTAGGAGTGTAAAATGGTGCAACCACTATGGAAGGCAGTATGGCGCTTTCGCAAATAGAAATGCCATTTGATGCAGCAATTCCACCACTGTAACCTAAAGAAACCATAACTGCCACCCAAGCAGATGTTTATTGTGGCTTTGTTCACAATAGCAAAGAGCTGGAAACAACCCAAGTGCCCATCAACAAATGAATGGATAGAGAAGCTCTGGTATATTCACACTATGCAGCATTGAAAAACAAGGAACTCATGAAATATTATGCAAAATGATGACTCTGGAGGACAGTATACTGCGTGGAATATCTCAGTCACAAAAGGACAAATATTGCATAGGGCCATTGTTGTAAAATGGGACCGACATCAGGGTTGAGGGAAGACAGAAAAGGAGGGGAGGAATGATGCATATTGCATTGAAACAGATGAGGGTGAAAACTCTTTAAAAGGGACATATGAATGGGTATTCTTGTCATGACAGGAGTCCAGAGTGAAGGCTGCATAGTGGAGTAGACCTGGGGGGGAGGGGAGGGACTTAATAACAATGAAAGTTTTTCTTTTTCTTTTCAAGGAGAAAAGTGAATTGATGGGGAGGGATTGGGTAGGGAGAAAAGTGCAACAATGAATGACTGGAAACCTTAAGTCTCTGTAAACTTTCATTAAGATTAATTTTTTAAAAAAGGACAAATAAAAAAAATAATGTTCTCACTCAAAAGCCTAGAGTTGAAGCAAGAAGCAACAGGAAGCTTCATCTCCCCCTTTGGGCAGCAGCCTCACTGCATGGAGACTCAGGTCCTTCCAGGAGAGTTCCCAGAGGCCTCCAGGTAGCTGGTCTCATGGTAGGGTGTCTGCAGCTCCTCATTTGACCACCCACAGCCCTGCACTGGGGAGCTCCTTACCTGATCAGGGTGTGACTGACCACCCACAGCCCTGAACTCCCCACCTGGTCGGGGGTGACCGACCACCCGCAGCCCTGCGTTGGGGAACTCCAGGGGTATGTGTGCCTCTCTGTTTCTGTGTGTCTCCATGTTGATGCCACAGAACACACTGTAAGACCAACATACTGTTGGCTACCCACAGCTTCCGCCTCCAGCCGCATGTCCTCTGTGCCAGTCCTCCTCTATGCTGGTGACTGTCCCAGCACACTGCTCAGCTTCACCATGAGAAAGCTTGGCAATGTATGACATTTTCTTAACAAAGACTCACAATCAGGACTTGCTGTGGTGGAGAAAGAGGAAGAAAGAACTTGTGTTCTTTACAAGTGGTGAAAAGGTCCTCAAAGTGTGCATGTGCCACACTCTGCAGTGCGTGTGCAGCAGCCACCCCACCCAGGTGCATGTCTCTGCTGAGCTGTCTGTAGCCAACTTCGACCAGTGGTGCTGCATTCATCCATCCTGTTTCCTCCTGCACCCTGTTGGTTTTGCAAATACAACGCTCCCTTATAAAATAGAGCCTGTGGCTTTTTCCTGCTGGCTGTGCAAAGTGATAGAAATCATTTCTTCTAGCTTACCTGGCACCTGGATGGGCCTTAGGCACTTGATGTGGTCAGACAGACAGGCAATCAGGTCCAGTCAGGAGGGTGGGGAGGTGAGGCAGCAAACATGTGCCCCCGGGCTGCTCTGGGAGAGGCCACTTGGAAAAAACACTTTGCCTGAGACCTGAGCTATCAGTGAAGGAAGAAGTAGCCTAGTTCAAACTAAACCCAATGCTGTTGAGTCAAGTCCAACTCTTTGTGACCCTCTTGTTTAACCATCAAGTTGGCACTGACTCCTCGCTGATTCTCCCTTCATTGAGTTTTTGGAGGCGGTACAGCTCATCTTTCTCCTACAAAGCAGCTGATAGCTTTGAACCCTGTGCCTTTGAATTGGCAGCACAACTTCTTACCACTGAGCTGCCAGAAAGACCCTAACGGATGTAATTGTAACAGAGGGCACTCTAGTCGTGCTCATGCTGCTTGCCAGGGCGTGCCTCTCTGGTGCAGCTCTACCTGTGAGTCAGAGGGAGGGAGATGTCTCCTCCTGCAGGCGGGGGGCCCTGTGGAGGCTCCAGCTCACTGACAGTGAACTTTACAGAAGTGGAAGGTCACGTCTTTCTCCCCCCAAACAGCTGGACTGACCTTCCCATTCGCAGATGAGCACTTTAACTACTGTATCAACATTACTCCGCGTGGCCTAATTAGCCCACTGCCATCAAGCTGATTCCAGCTCATACTGGTTCTCCACTGAGTTTCTGAGGCCACAAATCTTTATGGAAGACTGCCCAGCTTTCTTCTGCAGAGCAGCTATATTTGAACTGTTGACCGATTGCTAACCCTCTAGCAGATTTTTCAGAAGCCGTTAAATTGCCAGAGAGGAGATTGCTCATCTTTTGCCCACCTGATTCGAACCACCTGTCTGTGGGTTGGGAGTGCAACTCCTTACCACTAAGCCAGCTGTTGTTATGTGCCGTTGAGTTGACTATGCCTCATGAGACCCTATGCACCATAGCTCTGAATCCTGCTTTCTCCTGAGTCAGGCTCACTGCCTCCGACACACTCCCATTACCCCAGTTACCGTGTCAATCCTTATCCAGGGTCTTCCTCCCCTCCACCCTTCCAAGCATGACGTCCTAAGCCACCAAAGCTCCCTCCAATTAGGCTGTGTTGCTGTAAAAAGCTTTCTGTCTGAACTAAAGCATGTTTTGAGAGGGTATTTCCCCCAGCACCACAGCCCTAAGCCCCTCTCTGCTGACTTGACCCCATGGTGGGATAGGGTTCCTGCATGTGGGGAGAGGTTCATGGGGAGGAAAGGCAAGAGGCTGGTGTGGTGTGTGGGGACAAGGTTCTAAGCTGGGGAGGAGGCACAGAAGCTAAGCAGGCTCATGCCAGCCAGAGTGACCTGTGTGTGGGCACAGCCAGGAACAGGACATAGGTACACGGCAGGAGGGAGGAGAGGACTCCCCTCTGCCAGGGGATTTCAGATGGAGGCAGGAGGACAACACGTCTCCCGGGGACTTGTATCTCATCATGCTCTCTCCCTCCTCTCCTTTCCTCCTCTTCCTCTCCTTGCAGCACCCTCTGCCAAAGGAAAAAAGAAACTGTTGGAGGGGGATGACCCCCAAGACCCATCTATGTCCCCTAAACCAGATGGTGAGCAAAGCAGGAGCCAGAGCCCCATCCAGCTAGGAGGGTACCAGGAGGTAAGTTGGGCAACTCCCCTCAGCCTGTGCCAGACCCCCAGTTGAACCAGGAGATTCTCCAGGCTCTCAGGGAGCGACACAGATGTGTCCCCACCTGGGAGCGCCCAGGAACGCCAGACGTGTTCCATTCTCCCCTACAGAGCCCGAATGAGGCTTCATTTGCAGGCCCTGCTTTAGAAGGGTTTGTGGGGTGCCTGGCAGGTGGAGGACCCCTTTCAGGTCTCAAACTCTCTTTCTCAAATGAATACTTATATAGCAGCAACCTGCTCTAAAAAACAGAAAAGCCCTGTTATGTGCTATAAGAAGAGACCTGGTTGTTGGGTACAATTGAGTTAGAATCGAGTAGGTTTTCAGAGGCTGTTAATTGCCTATCCTTTTCCACTGAGCAGCTGGTAGATTTGAACCTTGTGCCTTCGGACTTGCAGTGCAGTTTCTTACCAGCAAGCCACCAGAGCTCCCTTCTATGTTGTGAGAAAAGGCCAGTTAGCACAGAAGTTAAGAACTTGGATTGCTAACCGAACAATTGGCAGTTGAACCTACCAGCTGCTGTGTGGGGGAAGGTGAGGAAGTCAACTTCTCTAAAGATCCCCAGCCTTGGAAACCTCCCGGGCAGGTCTCTGCTCTGTAGGGGGCTGGGGGTCTGGATTGACTCAGTGTCAGACCTCGGAGGCTTTCTGATGAGTGTGCACAGCATGTTAGTCACAATCTGGAGTCAGATCCTGCTTCAGAGAAAAAAGTAGTGCAAAGAGAACAGTTTTACACAGCTTGTCCTGAATTCTAGAAGAGAATCAGCAGTCTGGGTGATCTGTCCTTGAGCCGTAATCCCTTCACTCTGGGGGCGCTCTGAGCCTGAGACCTCAGTAGCTTGTTAGAGATACTAGTCTTTAATATATTCAAATTTGTATATGTCACACATGGCTCATTGTCAGGGTTGTTAGCTAAAAACACTGAAAAGCTGTTTGAATGAAATCTTTTGGGGACTCACAGCATCTGCTCTAGGCCACCCGTAGGCTTTGGGGTTTGTGGGTCTTCCCAGCGAAGACCTGGCTGCTGTTTGTTCTGAGAACATGAGCCTTCAGTGGGTCAGGGCCCTGGCCCTACACCTCAAGGCCCGGCTTCACTGTCCTTGGCTGTCTCAGTTGACCACCTAGATGAACAGCATCAGTAAATGCTCTAGGACCAGAAGACCAAAATCCTGTGTCTGAGAGAAATGTGCCCAGTGTAGGCTGGGGGCTAGGGGCCTGCTCCTTCCAGTGGGAGCCTGGGGTTGAGGGCCAAGCACCTCATTTCTTCCCAGCACCCACCAAGTCCATGGCCATCTCCTGACTAAGGCTCATCTGGATGCCTGCTGTTCTTTCCCCAGGACTCCCCCGAAGCAGGCAGGGAGCAGGAGGAGGCACAGGAGCAGGAGGAGGAGCAGGCCTTCCTGGTCAGCCTCTACAAGTTCATGAAGGAGCGGCACACGCCCATTGAGAGGGTACCCCATCTCGGCTTCAAGCAGAGTGCGTCCCTGGGCCGGGCACAAAGGGGGTGGGCCTGGCAGGGGGCTTCCCTCCCCCAGGCAGAAACTCTGGACACTGCCAACTTGGGCAGAGGGTGCACAGCCAGACTTCCACCCTCTCTGGTCTTTGGGCCACTATGCAGGGTGACCAGCTGTCCCAGCAGTCACCATATCAGAAGGGGTGCTGGTCTTGGCTCCAGCCTAGTGGCCAATGGGCACAGGCTGCCAGCTCTGGCAGACGTGCTTCTAGCCTGCCGGGTTCCTCTCTTCTCAGTTAACCTGTGGAAGATCTACAAGGCAGTGGAGAAGCTGGGAGCCTATGAGCTGGTAAGGAAGTCCCTGTGTCCTGCTCATCCGTATGCCTCTGGCCTGGCCCACAGTGCTCCAGGCAGGGCGGGGGGTGGGGTGGGGTGGACTGATGATGGTGGGCAGACAGAATTTGGGGAGGGCCAGGCTCTGGTCACTGAGCTCATGGATCCCTAACCCTGCCTCACCTGAGCTCCCCTTCTTGGTAGCACTTTGCTTCTGAAAACAGGTTTTCTGTTTTCCATCTGTTCTGCTCTCCCTGTGCTCAGAAAGCTGCTTGGACCAGCAGTCAGGTAGCCCCTCACAGGGGACCTGGCTGGCTGCCAAGTGAGCTTTAGGGGCCAACCCCTTGCTGCTGAGAAGCTGCTGTGAAATTTTAGCCTCCCTTCCATGGACCCTCTGATCCCAGGTGTGGAGGCCTCTGGCTAGGAGAGCCTCTGGCCACACCTCTTAGACAGTGTCACTGTAGGTGACCTCATATGTGTGCTGTTGCAGGTGACTGGCCGCCACCTCTGGAAGAATGTGTATGATGAGCTGGGGGGCAGCCCAGGCAGCACCAGTGCAGCCACATGCACGCGCCGGCACTACGAAAGGTACATGAGGCCTTCCCAGGTTAGCAGAGCTTACGGTGTGAGTGGGAGGAGAACACACATCTGTTCACTCAAGGAAAAAGCTGGAAGCAGGAGGCCTCACGGCCCATCAGCAGAGGCTGGCGCTGGGCTCACTCTGCCCTTCTAGGATGGGTGGGGGGGTGGGAGTGCTTTGCGGGGGAAGTATCACTGGGCAGGGACAAAGAACAGGAGCCATTGGCTGTGATATGTACTGTCAGGGAAGGCGCTGACTGCCCTGGGTCAGAAGAGGGAGCTCTGGAGGTTTCCTGGAGAACGCCAGGCAGCAGCAGGACAGGTGGGTGGGTACCCACTAGCCTGGGCTGTGGTGGACACACGAGACTCCTCCCCAGGCTGGTCCTCCCGTATGTGCGGCACTTGAAGGGGGAGGATGACAAACCCCTGCCTCCGGCCAAGCCCAGGAAGCAGTATAAGATATCCAAAGAGTTGCAGGTGGATGACGGGGTGCCAGAGAGGCCGAAGAAGGAGGAGAGGCAGGCGGACCAGGTAAGCATTGGGCCCCTCTGTCCCCCTAGCTCTGGCCGCCCCTGTGGGAACTGGCTGTAGTTGCAGAGTTCCCACCTGACTACCCACCCAGAGGGCAGCACTGGCAGGGCACCGCCTGTGGTTCTGTGCTTGTCCTCAGCTCAGGGCCTCAAGCAAGGGGGTGCATGGGGTTACACACAGCTGGCAGCCCTCTTCTGGGATCATCTGCTCTGACACAGGACTGTGCCCCTCAGAGAACAAGGTGCCCTTTCAAAGTCGTGTGCAAAGGTCTCATAGGACTGAAAGGGCTCCCAGTGGCCCTGGGCACCTGGCCAGATCCCAGGCCAGGATGCCAGGCTCACCACTACCCTGAGGTGTCATCCTGCCTCATTCTAGATTATTCCAGCAAAGACTAAGACAGATGCAACCAACTTGGCTCAGCTCCCCAGCCAGGAACCCCCTGGGGACAGTGCTGTGCAGCCTGGTCCGACCCCTGTATCTACTCTGCCTTTCATGGGGGCCAGCTGCTGCCCCAAGGCCTACAAGAGGCTCCTGTCCAGCTTCTACTGCAAAGGGACACGTGGCATCATGTCCCCCCTGGCCAAGAAGAAGCTCCTGGCCCAGGTGAGCAAGGCAGAGGCCATGCAGTGCCAAGAAGAGTGCTGCTGCCATGGGGCAGGCCCTGGCATGGAGCCCAATGTGACGCCAGCAGCTGGCCCCCCGGAGCACCCACAGAACCCAGCTGAGGACTCCAGAAACCAACTGACCCCTCCAGAGGGCTTGCCAGCACCAAGGGTCAGCCTGAAGGAAGAGGCTCAGGGAAGCTCTTGCCCAGCAGCCCCTGTCTTCACTGGCTACTTCCATGCCTATCCCACAGAGGTGCTGAAACCCATCAGGCAGCACTCCCAGGACTTCCTCCCTAGCCTAAAAGATGGGGTGCTGTTGGAGCCACCCAGCAAAGAAGCTGGAATGCTGGCCAAAGAGCCCCAGCTGGTATTTGGTGGGGATGTCAACCGCCCCTCAGCATTCCACAAAGGCGGCTTCAGAAAGGGCAGTCCCTACCTCAAGCCCAAAGCCTGCTGGGTATCCCCCATGGCCAGGGTCCCTGCCGAGAGCCAGGCACCATGCCCTGCCTTCTCCAGCAACCCAGGCCTCAGCAGAAAGCACAACCTGGAGGAAGCAGTACACGGTGCCAACAGACTGTGGGCAGTGTCTCCCTTTCTGAAGGAGGTAGATGCCAAGGAATGTGGGGTGAAGCCTCAGGGGCCCAGTTTAGCCATCTCCTGCCTGCTGGACCCGGCCCTGAGGCCTGCCCCACATGAGGCCTGCAGGGGCACCATGCTACGCTGTCCCCTGAGCTGCACCAACACTGTGGACCCCTTAAAGGGCCAAGCCACGCTCCCTGTCAGGCCTCTGGTCATCCCAGCCTTCCCTGCCCATTTCCTGGCCAATACAGCATCGTCCCCTATGGCTGCTGGCCTGATGCACTTCCCGGCTGCATCCTTCGACAGCGCCCTCCACCACAGATTGTGTCCTACCACATCTGCATGGCACATGCCGCCCACCACAAGCTACATCGCCCCCCACTTCTTCCACCTCAACACCCATCTATAGGTGGCAGCCACGTCATGCTGTGCTAGGAAGATCAGACACTGCCCAGGAGAAGTGGGCTTTTCCAGGACTCGGGCGCCCTGTGATGGGACATGCCAGGCACATGCAAGGGAGGCCGTAGGAAACCAGGCTTGCCTCTCCACCAAACAGCCCAGACCCATTTCAGAGAGGCCAGGGGTGGGCGGCATTGGGCCCACCAGCTGAGCTCAGAGGAGAGGCCAGAGGCAGGAGGACTGAGAGCTGGAGGCTTCTGTCCTTGGAGCACAAGGCCTCCCTCCCAGTGGCCCACCTGAGATCAATAAAATGCGCCCATGTGAATTCCAGCCTGCTTGGAAACATGCTTCAGGGTGGGCGTGGCAGGTGACACTGGGTGGAGGGCTGTCCATGAGGAGGGGGCCTGATCTTGAAAGCCACACTCCACCTAGCAGAGTGTTCCGTTAGCATTCCAGCGAGCTTTGAAATGCAGGGTTGTTTCACCAGTGGAACCTCTCCACCCCGAGCTCTCACCTTCCTCCTTCCTTGTTTTGATGGAGAATCAAGCTCAGAGAGCTTCACATCCCCCCAACTCCTTTCCACTGGCAGGTGGTATAGCTGGGATGTGAGCATGACTCTAATGCCCTTAGTGAAGGGTAACTGCTGCCCACTGTGGGCGTGCTTTCCTGCCCTTAGCACGCCTGCCTTGGAGTAAGGAAGCCAGAATGGTGTGCTGGGAATGGACACCGGTGGGGAGGGTCTGCTGCTGAGTCCTCCCGGAGAGCCACAGGCAGCCACCTCCATCCAGGCCTCCCACACTGTGAATGGGCCCTCTCCGCATGGTGGCTCATGGTGGCATTGACCCGCAAGACGCACTGGACTCAGATAACGGAGACGGCACTTCACTACTGGGGGAAAGAGAAGTGAAGGTGCCTTGATCTCAGACATTGTGGACAAGCTCTTGGAGGGTCTCATGAGTAGATGGGTGCTTCAAGGAGCTCATTTCCAGAGAGGTATCAAGCTGACACCTCCTGGCTGGCTGTGGATGGAAGAACAGGAGGGACAGTGGCCACAGATGCCTGGGTTACAGAAGGGAGGGGCTCCTTTCAGAGGTATCATGTCCTCCCCTTCCCAGGCTCCTATTCTTAGAGGTCAGGGGCCACTTGCTGGCTAAGCTTCCTGGAGAGGTGCTGTCCACTGGGCACTGAGGCAGTGGGCTCAGGCCAGCCTTAGGCCCATTTCACTAGACCTCATCCTGCCTCTTTGGCTGAGGGGTTCCTGAGAACCTCAGGCTATAGTAATTTACTGTGACTTCATCTCACAGGTGAGGAGGCTGAGGGCTGGGGCAGGAGGTGTCTTGCCTAAAGCTACCACTTGTTGTGCACCGTCAAGTCAGAACCAATCCCTCGCTGGCCCTCCAGTGGGTTTTCAGAGGCAGTAAATAGCACAGGAGGAGACTGCCAATCCTTCCTGCACAGCAGCCAATGGATTTGAATCACATATCTTTGGGATTGCAGTGCTGCTTCTCACCACTCAGGCACTGGAATGCCGTAAAGCCACCACTAAGGCCAAACCTGGACCAGGGTACACGCTCCCTGCTCGGCACTGGAGGGGAGGTCAGCAGGTTAAAGGCCATTTGGCAGGGCACCTGCCTCCAGCGTCCTCCCCAGCAGCAGATCAGAGTGGAGAGGAGGGTGACAGTCTCCAGACGTAGCTCCGCGGACACCAGGAAGCCAGAGCACCCAGCTTCTGGTTCCTCACCTCTCTCCCTCCAGGAAAAGCCAAGATGTCAACAGAGTACCTTCTTGACGTCAGCCAAGTCTCAACTCTCACATGAAGCAACGAGCCCATCTGGCATCTGGGGACATGGTCATGGGGGCCAGACCCCAGGATGAAGGGTAGGTGAGGGCTCTCATGTTGTGTCTGGGGCTCTGCTGAAGGTAAGATGGGGTTTAGTTCAATCGCAAAGTAACAGAAACCCCTCCTAGCACAAATGCGAGCAGGTGAGCCCTATAAACTGGAGATGCCAACAGAATATACAGCAGTGTGGCGGCAGCTCCCTCTAGTGACCTATCTGGAGGATAAACCTTTCTGTGAGGGGAAACAGAGTTTTGTTTTCATGACAATGCAAAGGCATTTGACTGTGTGGATCATAACAAATGATGGCTAACATTGAGAAGAATCGGGATTCCAGAACACTTCATTGTGCTTATACGAAACCTAGACGTAGGCCAACAGGCTTTTGTGCACATGAACAAGGGAGTGGCATGGTTTAAAATAAAGGAAAATGTGCATCGGGCTGCATCCCTTTTTCATACCTATTCAGTTTGTAAGCCAAGCAAATAATTCAAGGAGCTGAACTATAAAGAAAAATGTGACATCAGAATCGGAGGAAGACTCTTTAACAACTTGTGTTATGCAGCTGACACAACCTTGTTGCTGAAATTGAGGGGGATTTGAAGCCCTTGCTGCAGAAGATCAAAGACTATACAGCCTCTGATAAAGGTTACATCTCAACATCAAGAAGACAAAGATTCTCAATAGGTACCATCATGATAGTTGAGAAAAGACTGAAATTGTCAGCAGTTTCATCTTACTGGCAGTCAAGAAACAAGAAAGTAGGTGTTCTTGGTGACAGTGGTAGGATGAAGGTCCTGAGGTGGCGGCAGTGGTGCTAGCTGGTGGGCATTAGTGAAGGAGAGAAGCCACCAGCCTGCGCCTGCAGCCCTAGTCAGGCTGCGCTGACCACCCCTCCGCCCCGCTCTGAGGCAGGCTGAGCCAAGCTGGTGACATTTTCCCTCCAGGTTGACGCTGGCTTCAAGCTGCATGCCTTCCATGCACTGTGCCAGCGCGAGTCTGGTATCTCTGCAGTTGAGAAAAACCTCTTACAACCACAGATCACTGGCTTCTTATGGCTTGAAAGATGGTGCTGTTGTGATTTTGCAACCTCCAGTGCAATTCTCAAACTTACTCCATATGGACTTCAGTAGTGTAGCTGTGCCCCGCATGCCAGCCACCAGCAGCACAGCAGCCACACTCATCTGGAGAAATCGCTTCATCTCCTTTGGGCTTGGACTATCTAGCCTTGTTCTGAGACATGTTGCTGCCCAAGCCCCACGAGCTGTTCTTACTGAAGGAACCAATCTTCCCCAGATGCTTTGCTCAGTGGAGATCTTAAGACATTTTCTAGGGTCTTGGTGGAGCCAGCAGCAAGACCGAGTCCAGAGAGAGCAAGAAAGGATTCGTCTCTTCTGACCCTTTTGATCTTGAAACTCAGGCAAAGATAGAAAAAGATATAAGGCAGCAGAACCTTGAGGAAAACATGACCACGTATGGAAGAGGCTCCATAGTTTGGGCCAAGTAGTGATGCTGTATGTTAAACGCAAAGTGAATGGACATCCTATAAAAGCTGCTGTTGACTCAGGTGTCCAAATGACTATGAGCCAGGTGTGGGCAGAAAGGTGTAATATAATGAGGCTGGTGGATCATCGGTGGCAGGGATTGCCAAAGGAGTGGGCACCCAGAAGATTATCAGGAGGGTAATCCAGGGGGACTTCCTGGCATGTTCATTCTGCATATGCTCAAATCGCATCAGTGTTCCACTGACCTCAAGAAAAATGTCCTAGGAATCAGCACCACTGGCCCTCAGACTACTTTCCTTCTTGGCAGAGAGCTGCCAGAGTATGCCAGGTTGGTGCATGGGGCCAGATGAGAGGAGGCCAAGAATTAGCAGAAACCCTTCAAAAATCCATAGAAGATACAAAGCGTTGGAAGCCATGATACATGTAGTGTGTATGCTGTGTCTGGAGTGGGCCCCAGACCAGAGAAAAGCAGTAAAGAAACTACCTCCCAGGGAGTATCATCATTACCAGCTTCAGAGGGATTTAAGCACAAGCCTATCCTTCAGGACAGAGTGTTGCTCAGTCTGCCCTGTAAAGCCCAGTGATCCAGCCTTGCTGGCTCTCAAGCTGATCAGGCTTTGAAGGCTTCCTCTCAGTTCCAGATTGCCTCTGAACGCATATTCTTCCTCTGCAGGATGGTGCTGCTCCAGCAAGCAGGAGGCAGGTGCGCCTGTGCAGGCTTCAGCAGAAGCAGCTGCTGCGGACACTTTAGAGAAAGCTCCTGCTAAACAAAGCACCCCAAGCCCCAAATTTCATCTCAGTGCAAGATGGGAATCCAGTGTATCTATCACAGCTACCAGCCTGTGTGACCCACAGACGTCTCTCCATCAAAAGGATTGGCATCCAGAGTATCAGAATCAAAGTCCAATAAATGGTTTCAGCAGCATGAAGAACCCATGAATAAACAGCATGAGGTTGTACCACAGAATCCTCCACATGACCAAGACTATCTGTTTAACATGGGAACCCTTGACCCTTCCTTTGTGTTCCCTCCTGGTCTGAACAAATCCCCCACCCCTGACACTGCCTCCAAGGGACCCAAAAGGACCACTAGGGTAGACAACACATTTCTGTGGCATAGACCACATTTCAGGACCATTCTTACACCCTTTCAACAGAGGCACTGGAGCTGCTAACAGGCAGAGAACAGGTGCATGTCTGAGAAGGGCCTTGCATCCCTGGTCCTAGCCCTCAGGTGGTGACAGTTTAACTATGAGATCAAGTGTCAGGCATTCAGACCCTTACTCAGGCGCTGTTTTAGGTTGTCAGGAGGAACTATCAGTGAGCAAAACATGAAATTTCCTGCCCTGAAAGAGACAGAAATAAAACAAATGAACAAATGGGCTAGGGGATGAGAAGATGGCATTTGAGCCACAAGAGGAGGGGAGAAGGAGCCCCGTGGATTAGGGGGAAGAGTGGTGGAGAAGGCAGCCCTGAGGGAGAAGATTGCAAGTGCCTGAGGAACAAGAAGGCCTATGCGGTTGGAGCAGAGGGAGGTGGAGAGAAGTGGAGCTTAAAAGGAGATCACTGCACAGAGCCTTCTCAACTCTGAAGTTGTTGTTGTTTGTTGTTGTGTACTGTAGAGTCAGAACTGACACATAGCTGACCCTCCAGCAGGTAGCCAGAGGCAGGAGGACCTCGTCAAATCAGGGGGACCTCACAGTGATCCCGCGAGCTGAATGGCTTCACAACTTTCCTTACCCAGAAGCAGATCACCATGCCCTTCTCGTGCAGCACCACTGGGTGCAGCTGAACTCCCAACCTTCAGATTGTCGCTAGTATGTACTGTCAAATTGGAACTGACTCATAGCAGACTCTCCAGCAAGTTTTCAGAGGGAGTTGATTGCCCATCTTTCTCTCGAGAGCAGCTAGTGGATTCAAACTGTGTACCTTTGGGTCGACAACTCAATTTCTTACCACTAGGCCACCTTTAGGTTAGCAGTCACCAACTGCACATCCAAAGGCCCTGAGGAGCTGGGCAGCAGAGGGGTGTCCTGCTCCTGAGATGAAAAGCCTCACAGAGTCTAAACAAGCCCCTGGCTGTGGGTGAGAATGGGATAATGGACCCAGGCAGGAGGACCCATCATGAAGTCACTACACCTGGGTGCAGTCTGGCTGAGGGTACCTGTGGAAGTCCATGATAAGTCCTTTTGCGTTGTCAGGAAACGGTGGTGTATGTATAGGGTGGGGAGTGAGGATAGGGACAGGCTTGCAGGGCTGAGAAGGGAGGAGGGGGAGGCACTGAGCTCAGGGAGGGGCCTGGCAGGCATTTGGGAAGGGTGTTTCCTGCCACCTTCATCTGCACAGTGCAGAGCCAGAGCAGAGAGGGCTGGACTTAGCAGAGAGCTGGATTGTCTTATTTTTTAAAAAGACTTTGTTTTCTGTGAAAGTTTACACAGCAAAAAGACCCCCATTTAACAATCTCTCTACATGCTGTTCAGTGACCCTGGCTACATTTTTACATTCCCCTTATGTCCGGTTCCTCCCTCTTGTAGTGTAACTGTGGCCTGTTTGGTCTTATGGAATAGTTTTTTAGAGGAGCACTTTACTCACGCTAATGCCCTTTGCTCTGTGTGCTGATCTGTCATTTTACTAAAAGGGAAACTTTCCACTCAAGGTGTATCGGAATGGTGGGCTCGGATGTGGGGGCTTCCAGTTTCAACAGGTCCCCCAAGTCTGGACTTTTCTAGAATTTGAGCTCTGTTCCACATTTTCCTGCCATTTTTTTTCAGTGTACATCCACAGTGGCTCTGAGCACATAAACGTTTTGAAGAGGCAAGAGAAGGAAAGGGACTTGAGGGGAGAAGAGGTGGGTGAGCACAAGGGTGGACTGTGGAGCGAAGCTGAGTGAGGACAGTGAAGATGGCAAGGAGGAATGGGTACAGACGTTGGATCCACTGGCCACAAGTCTCAATGGGGTCCCACAACTGCTGGGAGGTTGAGCGGGGTGTTTGGCATGGAAGTGATAGAGGATGCAGGGCTGAGGTGAATTCTTGGATTAAGTGTGGTGTCTTTCCAATCTCCTGCTATAAACCTGAGAGCTGGACAATGAACAAGGGTGACAGGAGAAGAATTGATGCTTTTGAGCTGTGGAGTTAAAGAAGAGTACTGAATATCCCATGGATGCCAAAAGAACAAACATATAAGCCTTTGATAAGGTGCAGCCAGAGTACTGCTTGGAGGCAAATGAAGCTTTGTTTCACGCAATTTGGGCATGTTGCTAGGAGAGGCTATTCTTTAACCAGGGACATCGTGCTTGGAAATGTGGAGGGTCAGTGAAAGAAAGGAAGACCTTCAATGAGATGGATTGATACAGTGACTGCAGCAATGGGTTCAAATGTGTCAGAGATGATGAGGATGGTGCAGGATAGGATAGGGTTCAGATCTGTTCTTTATAGGATCATTATAGATATGTCTTGGAGAGGTTGCAGCCGGTATGTTTTTTTTGAGGCAACAATAATGAGGCATCACCTCACATACTTTGGACATATTGCTAGCAGGTGCTTGGAGAAAGACATGATGCTGGGAAGGGTGGAGGGTCAGCAAAGGGGAGGAAGACCCTCAACCAGGTGTACTGACATGGTGACTCCTGCAATGGGCTCTTGTGTGTCAGGAAGTGTGAGGTTGGCGCAGGACAGGCTAGGTTCAGATCTTTTGTTCATAGGGTCGCTATGAGTCGTACCTGACTCGATGGCACCTAACAACAAGAACAAACATGAGTCAGCAGTACCTAACAAGTGGAGAGCAGTGTCACTGCAGGAGAGGAAGTCAAGGGACAAAGAGCCTATGACGTGGGAAGCTTGAAGTCAGAAAAAGTCCCCAAGGAAGCCCTACATGAGGGTCAGCAGAGGACTGGAGAGGATGTTCTAGCCTGCGGGCATGAGCTTCAAAAGAAATAGCAACAGAACTTGGAAGCAGGAGGGCATCCACTTACCTCAAGCCAATGGTGAGGGGGGCCTGTGGAGTAAGGAGCCACATGAGACTGTAGGGAGAGAGTGCTATGAGCAGAGTCAGTTGGGAATCCCAGGTAGACACTGCTGCGAGCTGGCTGCTTGGAGATCTCGGTCTCTCTGTCTCTCTCAGCGCGCTCTCGCATGCGCGCGCGCGCGCACACACACACACACACACACACACACATGAGCATTTACTCGTGTCCAGACCTCACTGGCTGGCCTGTAGCCCTGAATGTGCCCATCATCCAATCCTACCTTAGCTCAGCCACGAGGGGGCAGCGTTCTGTGTCTTTATGGTAAGCTCTGCTGCTTCCCAAGCAAATGGACCTAGGAAATTTCACTGCTGGAAACCACAAAAGGGCTTCCGGGCAGAGCAGAGACATCATGAAGGCACCCTGGGGTCAGTGTCCACTGCTTTACTGGAGAGCCACGGACATAGCATGATCTTGTGGACTCTTCTCTGAGCCTCGTCTGCACACAAGTGTGGTATCTCAATATGAGCCACTGCAGGAATCTGCATGGCCCGGGTCTTCTGCCTTCCCATCTCCTCTGTGATCTCCTCTCTCCTTACACCCACCTCAAAATCCCCTCCAGCCACTGGCCCTGTTTGTGTAGCCCCAACGGGCAGGGCTCTACACCCCTACCTCTGTCCTCCCCTGAAGCGCCTGCTGCAGAGTGTCAAGGACTGCAGCCTACAATATGGATTGAGGCTCAATGTCAAGAAGACAAAGATTCTCACCACTGGATCAATTGGCAGCATCAGGATGGATGGTGAAGAGATTGAGATTGTACACAGCTTTAGTTTGCTTGGCTCCATAGTCAACAGTCTTGGCACCAGCAGCCAGGAAATTAAAAGGCGCATTGCCATGGGAAAGTCTGCTGTTAGGGACCTCTCCAAAGTACTGAAGAGCAACGGTGTCTCTCTGAAGACTAAGGTGCGTTTTATACAGGCTATGGTCTTCAAACCTGGGATTCTCAACACTTGCCTGGCCTGGGTCACTCACTGTTACTGAATCAGTCCTGGTGGCAGTGAGGCCTGACATGCCCAGGACCAGAAAAGATTAACAGGACCAAACTCCAGCCAAGCCCAGGGGATTCTGGGGGACTAACAGGCCTCCTCCCAGGGACAGCCATGGCTTGTTAGAATGGCTCCCCAGCTCGGCAAGCTGTGTGCAGTAATTCCCAACTCCACTCCAATGACATCAGGCTGGGAGCTTGAAATTGGCCACAACAAGAATATATGCAGGAAAGAGAAATCATGCTGGGAAAGGTGGAGGGTCAGTGAAAGAGAGGAAGACTCCACAAGATGGACTTGGACAGTGACTACCACAAGGGGCTTGCGCAGGTCAGGGTGAGGTTCAGAACTGTTGTCCATGGGGTCACTGCCCGGCAGTGGTTAAACATGTACTCATGTCCATTGACTTTCTCTTTCCTTGGGTCACCAGTCAGATATACAATGTGGTGCTCACTTCAGCAGCACAAATACTAAAATTAGAAAAATACAGGGAAGATTAGCATGGCCCCTGTGCAAGAAGGAAATGCAAATTTGTGAAGCGTTCCATATTTTTCCTGGATGTCACTCCATGTTCCCTTGCTTTTGAGACTGCTGGTGAAGTCATGACTGTCCTAATCGAGCAGACACAGCCCTTCATGACCGGCTTGGACCACCAGCCTGGTGTGCTCATTCGTGTCTATGAAGGTGAGTGTGTCATGACCAAAGATAACAACCTGCTTGGCAAGTTGAAACTCACAGGCAGACCACTTGCACCTAAGTGGTGTTCCTCAGATTGAAGGCACCTTTAATATTGATGCCAATGGTATCTGTAATGTTTCTGTTGTTGACAAGAACACTGAGAAAGAAAACAAGATTACCATCACTGATGACAAGGGCCACTTGAGTAAAAAGGACATGAATGAATGGTCAAGGAGTCTGAGAAGTACAAAGCTGAAGGTGAGAAGCAGAAAAATAAGGTGTCTTTTCAAAGAATTTCCTTGAGTTTTAGGCATTTATATGAAAGCAACAGTTGAAGACGAAAAACTATAAGACAAATTGAATGACAAGGACAAGCAGGAGATCCTTGACAGGTGCAATGAAATTATCAACTGGCTTAATAAGAATCAGACTGCAGAAAAGGAGGAATCTGAACATCAGCAGGAGCTGGAGAAGGTCTGCAACCCCATCACAACCGAGCTGTACCACAGTGCTGGAGGCATACCTGGAGGCATGCCCAGTGGCTTCCCTGATGGTGGAACTCCTCTGTCTGGAGGTGCCTCTGCTGGACCCACCATTGAAGAGGTTGTCTAAGCCAATCTGAATACTTTACCATTTATTGCACCACAGTTAAATTTCCAAGTACTCAAATTTGTAGCACACTGCAGTTTCAAAGTTTAAACTACTAGCCTAAATTTCTGGAGATTATCAATACTTGAATATGAAATGTGCATAGGGAAAGGGGAAAGGAAATAACATTGCACTTTATTATCACTGTAATGTAGGTGGAAAATCCAATGTATCAAATAAAGATGTATTCAAAATTTGCATCATTAAAAAAACAACAACCCATACATACAACAAAACCCAAACCCAAACATGCAATGTGAGGAGAAAGGATCCCATCTTAAGTCCGGTGGAAGCACCCTGTTTCCCAGGGAAGGGGCTTGCTCCCCTGTGGTGCTGTCTTGGTACACCACCCAGAGCTTCCCCCAGGCAAATACACTTCCCAGAATTCCTGTTTCCAATTCTGTAATGTGGAAGGTAATCACATCTACCTCAAAGACAGGGCATTTAGTGAAAGTGCTTTGTAAATCACAGTTCTGGACAAAGCTGACTTGTCACCATCTGCCCTTCCCTTCACCTTACACTCCTGATATTTTTGTGTGTGTCCTGACCACTGCACCTAGCCTCCTGTGTAGCTTCTGATTCAGAATCATGCTGACTGACCTCGCGAGCCTGTCTGGGTCAAGCCTGGCAAGCCAGTTTCATCCCAGATACCACCTCAGATTAATTGATACTGGTTGTCTGCAGCTTTATGTCACCCCAGTGTGAAAATGATGCAATTGATTAGTAATGTCTGCCAGGGCCTGGGAGGGGAGAAGGAAGCTCACTTGCCCAGCAGTGCTATTTCTGTCTATGAGCACAGTGACCTAATTGCTGTCTGATGAAGGACTGTCTGATTCATAATCCTGACCTCATTGCCACATCTCAGCCACAACTCCTGCAAGTTCCTGTGCAGAGCTGTCTGCTTTCCTTCCCACATGAGCAAG